TCTCGATCCCTAATCCTGTTCTCCAAAGTCGCTCCACTCCGCTCCTGCCTCCGCAGGTAAGAAATATCTTCTCCTCGCTCTGCTCCTACCTCCTTTCCCCCATGTCGCAGAAACACATCTCGATCCATATGTTCTTTGTGGTTAATGTGGAAGTCTTTTGTGGGAGAAAACCTAGATCTAGTTCTTGGGAAGCAAGTTTCGCCGGTAAAAATGTAGATCCTTTGTTCGAAATGTCTGTTGTTTCTTCTCGATTCGACATTCCTATCCTTTCTTCGAAATGGCTGATGTTTCTTTTTTATTTACTGAAATTTTTTAGGGTTTGTTGCTCATATGGTCTTCATGCGGGAAAATATTTCTGTGGCTATTTAAAACAATGAATCTTTGCTGCATATGTTGAATCATAGAATTAAATGAATTTTTTAATGCTTAGAGCATTTTTAATTTATTCCTGGAAAGCTTATAAAAAATTTGGTTGCCATATTAGCTAGAGAAGGAATGATTTTGGGTTTGCATTTTTAAAACAGTCCCTGTTCTGGCTGTTTGGGTTGCCGTATTAGCTAGCTGCCCCTATGAATTGTTGGTTGCCATTTTTAAAACTATCATGGTGTTATAAAACTGTCATGGAGTTAATGCAATAAATTGTGCCTTTGGGTTGTCTTTGCTAGCATTGTTTTAGAATTTCTACTCAGCTCTATGTGTTCCAAGTTTCAATTGGTTTTTACTCAAATACGGTGATACTATAATAATAAAGAAAAAGAGAGGTTTCATGTATAATGGTTATATTAAAAGCACATTTATGTTTCACCAATATATATTTTAATTCATTATTTTTCTTGAATTGATTGGGTTCGAGCCGGACCGATCCGACTCACGAGCCGGTCCATATCATAAGTGGCTCATTTTCGGTCATAATGTCATCTAACCATCCGTTGATGTGATAGTAAAAGATGAGTAAATCTAAAGACTCTGGTTCATAAGCTATATGAGAGAGAGAGTACTAATATTTTTTGTGATCTATGCGTGAGGGAAGTCGAATTGGGAAATCGACCCACAAATTTTTTTAATAAAGAATGTTGGCATAATATCACAACTAAATTTAAAAAAAAATTATATCAGAAGCGGGCAACATTCGTCATGATATGATTTTACATTTCAAAGTCAATATTGTTATATTTTTCCTTGTAATTTTAACATGTTATTTTTTTTTGGGTCATTATAATCCATATTAGTGTATGAATGTGTAATGAACTTTCATATATGTCACTGTGCTTATTTGATGTAATCAAAATTTTTTTGAGTTATATAAATATTATTAATTTTTGAGTTATATAAATATTATTAAACTTTTTTGCATTTTCATTTCTTGACATTTGAGAAAATAACATTCTGCCACACAGATTATTCATTGAACTAAAAAAATTTCCAAATAAGCTGTTTACAAAACGCACTTATCACATAAAACGCACTAACCAAACAGTTAACTTATTCAGAACAGGGGCAAAATGGTCAATTTTTCATAATCAACTGTTTTCCAGACGCACTAACTAAACTCCAGACAGCTTATCCGGATCAGCTAGTCATCAACATATTATTAGGATAAGTTGCTTATCAACAGAAGCTGGATAAGCTGCAGCTGCCTCAAACAGACTCTTAATGAGAATTAATGTTTTGATTGAAAATGGAACTTTGGAACTAGTTGAACTACCTGATGACAAGAAGGTTGTTGGCTGTAAATGGGTCTTTGCAGATAAGTTTCATTTTGATGGATTTGTGGTTCTTCTCAAGGCTCGATTGATTGCTAAGGGCTATGCTCGAATTTATGCGATCAACTACTTGCACATTCTCTTCAGTAGTTAAGTTAACTTTGGTTCGCCTATTTATATCCTTGGCTGCACTTAATACTGGCTCATGCATTAGCTGTATGTGAAGAATGCTTTTCTACATTGTGATATTTTAGCAGAGGTATGTATGAGGCAACTTTCTGTGTTTGTTGTTCATGGGGAATCTTTGAAAGTATGCCATATTCAGAGTCTTTATATGGATTGAAGCAAAACCCTTGAGCATGGCTTGAAAACTTTAGCTAAGCAATAGATGAGTTTGTGATGCTGAAATGTAGAAGTAATCACACCGTATTCTATAATAAATTTGCTTCGGGAATCATTCTTTTGGGGATTTATGTTGATATTATTTATTATTACTAGAAGTGATGTGTAAGGAATTTTATTATTGAAATTATTTCTACAAAATCAGTTCAACACTAAAGATTCCAGTTCTTGAAGTACTTCTTGGGAATTGAGGTATTAAGGAGCAAGAAGGGTACCTTTCTATCTCAAGGGAAATATGCATTGAATTTGTTAGCAGAAGTTGAGAAATTATAAGATAAACTACGCAGTACTTTGATGCTTTTTAATTACCAACTTACCAAGGATGGAGAGTCTTTTAATGATCTTAAATAATATAGGAAGTTAGTGGAAAAATTAATCTACATCTCTGTAATTCATCCTGACATTGTGCACTCAGTTATTACTATAAATCAGTTTATGTCTTCCTCCATAATTCATCATTGGCCGGTTTTAGAATAAATACTATGTAACCTCAAGGGAGCTCGTGGATAAGGTATTTCATGTCAGAATCACGGGCATAGAAATATTCAATTTTTTATTTTTATTTATTTATTTTTTATGCAGATTCAGTAAGTTCCAAGATTGATTGAAGATCTATTACTGGATATTGTGTCTTTGTTGGTGGTAAATTGGTTTCATGGAAGAGTAAGAAACATAATGAAATGTTACAGTTCAATGTTGAATCCGAGTATCAAACGATGACACAAGCTTTAAGTGGATTGATGTCGGTCTCCCAACTCTTGACCAGTTCTAACAAAGTTGTGTGATAGCAAAGTTGCAATCTATATTGCCTCAAACACTGACCTTTATTGAAGAACTAATCACATTGAGATAGGTTGTCATTTTTTTTACGAAAAGATTCAACATAATAAAATTTCTATAGCTCATGTGAAGACTAGGGAACAACTAGGAGATATTTTCACAAAGGTCTTTAATGGAACGAGGGTCACTTATATTCGTAGCAAGCTTGACATGATAAATTTCTATGCTCCAGCTGTAGGGGTTTGTTATGGAAAGTAATAAATCTGAACCGTGTATATTAGAAGGCTTGTATTAGGAAATTTGATATTAGACAATCTAATTAGAGGAGATTTAATTAGAGGATCTTTTTTATATTTTGTTCCTATCTAGAGAGTTGGGAGTGTGAATAAATATGTAATATATGTTTTCAATTGGGAATAAGAAAAAAGGAAGTTTTGTCGTAACATTTAACAACCACTTGTGTTTTCTAGTGTCTCACTCTTTTTTACTTACAAGAGTCTTTTTATAAGTTTTTGAATGCATGCTTGCTCATATTTAATATTTTTTCTAGCTAACAATTTAAAAGTTATATATTTCTATAAAAGTTTATAGCATCGCAACATTTTCATTACATCTCACTTTGATACGCTGACAATAATCATGATTGAGCCACATACTTTTTATTTTGTAATAATATTCGGTAATCAAAAGAATGCTTGTTGGCGCATTTTTTGTTTTAATCTCATAGACTACGGTGACACCACATACCTTGAAAATTATTTGCTTCACCTCGTCTTAGATATTTTGGCCGTGGTTTGGAAGTCATTGAGTTTCTTAGTTAGGACATAATTGAGGACTTTACATATTATATAGCAAAAGCAAGATGATTTTTGTTCGGTATGGGTTCAAACACTTAACCTGGCTTACTTTTTTGTTTTGAAAGAGGTTTTCACTACATGGGTTCTTCCACTTAATTTGAATGAAGATTAAAGGTTTTTGTACTAACTATTAAGATTTAATTATGACTAATTGATTATTTGAAGTTTATTTAAAGAGAGTACAAGTTTTTCTACTTGTAGTTGCTTACAATGGAGTAGCATTTGCTTACGGTGGAGCAACAAGTTTTTATGGTGGATAATATGTGGAGGATGTAGTAGATGCATGTAGTGCATGACTGAGGCGGAAGATGATTGGGTTTTTGTTTGTTCCTAGTTCTTTGCTATCACAAAGAGAGAAGAAATGATTTTCATTTTGTGTATTTTGTTTGGGGCTCTCACTCTCTAGATACCTTTTGCAATTACTCATTACGTTGAAATTAATGAAGATATTAAACAGCTTACTCATGTTTTTTTCATTAACTGATAGAGATTTTCATTTTTTGAACAAACTTACTGATTGACAATTTGTCTAACAATAATGGAACACCAGCTTTGTAATCCCTTAAATTTCTTAGCTTGCCTCTAAAGCATCAACAATAGGAGTGATCTTTTACAAATTGTTTAATGTATATTTTCTCTAGTGTATCATTTATTATTAGTGGATCAAGGTAAATAATAATGCTTTATGAACTTTTTTTGATTCGCTTTATTTAAGGTCTGGCATAATTAGGTATTAGGGTTACATGATTACTTCTTTAAATTATTGAGTTATCTTCTCTCATTTGCTTCTATCTTCTTATGAATTGTTCAATACATTTTGATTTTTGTGTTTTTTTTCCCATTCCGATAATGATCTTGGGGTGTTTATGTTGTCATTTTTTTGGGCTACTGAGAGATGTTAAATATGCCGTTCTTCTTATTTATTTTGTATTTCGTGTTTATTTATTAATGCATGATTCAATTAATTGTGTTTGTGATTTCCTTTCATCTCACTGATTACTAATTGCTAAGTTACATTTAATTCATGACATCCTTTTGGTTAATTAGATACACTTTTTGTTTGGTTTTTGGGATGCCTTTAAATTGGATATTCATAATATTTTGCCTTTTACTTGTCAATTAAAATAATTTTTTTTATTGAAGAAGCTTTTTTTTTTTCTTTTCTATTTGGGAGATGCATTTTTTTCTCATTTTAATAACTATTTTCATGTCATATCTTTCTAAGGTATTTTGCATTTCTAATTTTTTGTGCTTATAGAATAACTTACAGAAATCCTCGCTGGAAGTTAGAGAGCAGCGTGAAAGTCCCACTGATGTAAGGCTTTCAATTGTCTATGATGGAAGTGATAAATCTGAGCAAGAATTAATTTCTCACAGCGATGCCTCCTTTTCTGAACTCGAACAACTACTCAAGAAGAGAAGGTTTTCAAGGAAAGTATTGCCCATCTTGTAACATTTGTTTAATATTAATATCATTTATGAATTAGTGATGTTTGAAAGCCTTACATACTAATTTAAAAGTTTATTGTTTATTGCTAGTCTTGCTATTTTTTTTGTGATATTAACTTCAGTTTATTTCTCTTGTACTCAAAACACTAATTTTGTGATCTTGGCCTAAATTTTGCCACTTTTATTTTAATCAGAATTTTTATGAATATTTTTTTTCTTATTTAGATAGTTTACATAACATGATCACCTTATTGAATGAGATATCATTACTTGTGTAAGATGGATATTTGGTAAAGCTTTCATGGAATCGAGCGAGAATTTGTTATAAGAGTCAGAGTGGCAGCTATTGAAGATGAAGTTGTTGAAACATAAATTATTTTGCCAAATGTGCAATTGAGTGCAAAAATTTCATCATGTGTTGCTACTGTGGTGGGGTTAAGAGCTGAAAGTCCTAAAAGAATACCCAAAATAAAATCCACCCATATAACAATCAATAAGAATTCTAATGGGCTGATTCATAAACTATGCCTAGTAGTTGGGATATTTCTTATAATGGTGATAATTACTACTTACTTATTCATTTCTCATTAACTCTTGATTCTCATTCTATACTTTTTGCTTAATATTGATTATATTGTTTTACAGGGTTGAAATTGATCGCTTGTCAGAGTTGCTACATTCAAGAACTATTGAACCTTCTACTTTACCATCTACAGAGTACAAGAATAAGGGGAAGATAAATGATGATTCAAGTATTAATTCGAGTTCATCACAACAAGCAGTCAGTCACGAGGAAATGGAAGAGGAAAAGGAAAAGAAAAATGCAAACACTTCGAGATTGGAAGGTCAAATGGGGCAGCTAGCTAATTTACATGGAAATGACACTTATGCAGTACATGCTAATGTTAGTAAATGACTTTTTTATTTGAGTAGATCCTTTAACATGCGAGTCAATCATTTATTAATTATGGGTTGAAAGTGCTCATTATGTTCTTGAGGATACCTCCTGCTCACTGATTTTTTTTTTTTTTTTTTTTTTTTAAAATTTTTTTCTACGTTAATCTCTGTAGTTTTATACCTGGGATTATAAAAAGTAAGTTTATTCCTGTTTAAATAAGACCTATGGCTATTTTTTGTTTGATTTATTGTAAATTGCAACTATTAATTTTTTGTTTGAATTATTGTAAATTGCAACTATTAATTTTTTGTTAGGATTATTAATCATTATTATGTTGGATAGATTGTTGTATTCGTCCAAAAACTTTTGATGCCCTGTTATTACAAATTTATTTATCAAGGATATATTAATGCCTTTTTATGGTCATGGTTACGGTAGTTTTTTTATGTTGTGGACCACCCATGGTTTGTATAAAGGGTTCTAGGATATTGTATTAAGCACTACTACATGAAGAATGCATATAAGTTAGTATCGCTCAACCTTACTCTATTCCGCTTTCTTCTTTATCTTTTCTATCGTATATGGTTGAAGGACTCTTTTCTCCCTTTCTTAGCCATTTTCTGATTGTTTTTTTCGCTTCATTTCATATATGGCATCATCAAGGTCAAACGCATTCACATTTGCTTTGGTTGACATCAATGCCAATGAAGTCCCCTTTTTTATGTCCCTATTTCTCTTATTTTCTTGCACCTTTTTTATATGATTAAAATATTTATTGCTGATTTCTATCCCTAGGTTGTTATGCCAACATGAATTAAATTTATTCCGTCACCTTAACGAACAACCCAATTTTGTTGCGTGCTTTAGACCATCTTTTGTAAGCAGGATGAAAATATTCCCAAAATCTAAATACTGTCTGACATCACTTTTGATATTGTCATGCATAAAAGCATTTGTTAAATTCTCTCTTCTTTCCCTTTCATTTGCTTTATGACCAGCCCAACCTTTTTTTCCTTATGAAGTATATAAAAAAAATTTTCTCATTCATATTTTAACCCCAATTTTCCTAAAATTCCTCATCTACTTTAGTTGGTAATTCTCTTGCATACATGAATCTCTAAATCTTGTTTGCCGAAATTTTTCCACCCATCGTTGATATCTTTTAAAATTCTCCCCATAATTAGTAAAAGCTTTCTCAATCAACGTAACTCAGTCATGAATGAAGACTAGCAATACTGTAATCTACCATAATTTTTCTCACTTTTAAACTCACCACCATAGTTGAATCATAATCAAACAGTCCTCGTCCTCACCCATCTTATTATGGCATTATATTATCACGTGCAATTATGATATGATCACCATGGTTAATTTTGAAAGTGTTCTTTTTTTGACATAATAAATGTCACAGTTCTGATATTCACATAATGATACCTATCATTACTACCCTTTAGTTGAACAAAAATCCATAGACGAACCATATGTATTATTCGTTTAATCGTTCCATCATTAGAATTCATACGTCCAATGATCATATATATGATCATATAAAAACTCACTTTATGTTAATCAAATTCCTCCAATTGATCTCAGGCCACCTTTCCTCTCTCAGCAGAAAAAAAGTAACATTTTAAACAAAATTGAAGGAAATGAAAAATATCCTTCAACCACAAAGGCAAGGTCCACCCATTACCCAGAAGACCGATTAGTCCCACTAACTCCACGTAGCCTTCATGTTGAGGATGTTGATTAGTTGTTTGATCGATTCCGAGTTTTCCACCAAGCAAGCTGTTAAATCTAGGAGTTAATTATTTATGTTTTTCCACTATAACTTGAGATAGAGATGCAACATGTTCGCTCATTTTGTGTGTTGTTGCCCATTTTATCACCAGTTATATTGGTTGACTTAGTGCTACCAGTGCTGCCAAAGCCATACTGTCATTCAATTTTTGCCTGGATTGTTGGTTTTATATAGGCTGATGATGATTGGTCTCGATCTGCTTCACACCCTCCAGGCTACTTTGTCTGCCATCTTCTTGGTGTACAAAGACAGGTGCACAATTCTACTCTAATGCTACTCCTCCATGGGCGCAAAATATTCAACTCTTCTAGAAGTGTTATTTGCTCCTCAAGTGAGTTGATGGAGAGCACAACACAACAATGTTATAATTTTATAGGTTATGTATTAAGGTCAGTTCTCGTTATTGACGAGTTTGTTGGTCTTTATGCTATGTAGCCTCACTCCATTTAAAGGGTTCCCTGGTCTTATTTTAACCGTTATGACATTGTGATTATTGAAAAAAAAATTGCTGGCTAGTCTTTCTTTCTATTGGGTTTTACTCTATCTCCTATATCATATGGCTTCTTTCTTTTGGCTAATGGCTTCTTCTTCACTTTTTGATCCTGATCTGTTTGATCGATTCTCCTTTCTATCCATAGCACTAGCAAGATAAAATGTTTCTACGATGGCATCACTTTTTTATCATATGAAATACAGCTGTTGATAGTAGTCTCTAGCATTCTCTATTGTAGCACTTCTACTGGATAACGTTGCTGCATTGTCCTCTAGAGGCACAAGCTTCTATAAGCCAGTAGCTTCTATTGCTACTTTAAAACCTATTGGCGTGTATTTTTGGCTTATCATAGTGGTCTCTTGGGATTTGTTTTTAAATGTTCAGTATATATATATTACTGATATAGAATAATGCTGACACTACTGCTGGCACACTTTCAGAGCGTTGCATTGTTTACCTATTTCATTCATCCATTGCTTTTCCTAACAGTCGTGAAACTCTGACTTATCTAGTGACACATCATTGTCATCGACATTGCACTGTTAATAGAGCCCCTATCGGTTAACAGTGTCTATCACATAGTTATAGAGCATGACCATTTCCTCAGCTATCTTTGTTAATTTATCCTTTATGAAGATGAACCATATTTGTGCAAAATTACATATTGGACCCTTAATTGGATCCACTTTCATAAATTACTGTGTAGTGCGCTGCTTAAGTTCTAACTTCTAATTTGGTTTGTATTCTTTTTACTTAATGTCACTTTGACTCTATCTTTTGATCCTTGTTTCAGCATACTAGTCTCAATCTGGTTTTTTTTGTTTCTCTTGTTATGATAATTAACATAACCAGAGCTGTCTAGTTCATTTTTTTCATTTATTTGGTCTATATCAAGGCAGTTACACTTCTTTTTATTAGCACTTCGTATCTTTTGATGCTGCTGGGAGTTGATTGAGCCAAAACTCTTTTAAGATCTTTTTCCCTAAATACACCTCTTTGTTTGAATAGAAGACTTCATTCGCCACACTTTTTTGTTTTTCTATGGCATATAGAGTTATCATAATTGTTCTACTCCATACCCAGTCACTGCTGCAACTTCAGTGCATGGGAACCAGGCAATGCCATTGTTTGTGTTGTATAATGCAAATTTCTTGATGTCCATATTCTAGGAAGGTTTGTTGTTTTTTGTGTTTCTCAGCCAACTAGCCTTATCATAATTGTGGAGCTGTTCAGATTGGTACTTGTTTTAGTTTTTTTATTTAGGTTTAATAATTTTTTTGAAGGCTTGGCAGTTTACTTTTGTGGATAAGGTTTTTAATTGCTGCTTTGATATCTTAATCATGCAGATGAAGTGTACTTATTGATCACCAATTTTTTAGGATTCTTTGTTTGTTAATTTAATTTTTTACATTATCTTAGCAGTGACTTTTTCTTTGACTTCTTCCTGCATATGCTCATTTATATGGGTTGAAGAAGTTATTAGCTTGTTTAGTTATGCAAGTAAGATTTTTGTTGGAGGACGAGGAACTGAAATTGTCAGGCTAATAATGTAGTTTTTTTTTGTTTCTTATGCTAAAGTGGTTATATGCTGTTGGAGCAATACATTTCTTTTGAGGTTACTAAATCTTATTTTTTTTGCTTCTGGTCTATACAGTTTTCTGCGGGAGATTCTGACGCCCCAATAGAAATTGCTAGAGCATACATGGGTTCTATGCTTCGAAAAGCAGCCCCTTCTACACTCGGTTTGCAAAGTCAAATATATAAAGTTTCCCCATTGAATTTACAATTCGGAAATAAACCATCAATTGCTGCCATTGCTTCCAGATCTGCTGCATCCTTTCCTGTAATTCCTACAGATTCTGGGAATGACTGTATGGCTCAAAAACCTCGAGGCAAATCAGCATTGTACAAAATTTCACGCCCTCATTGTAGATCCTTTAAGATGACTAACACCAGGGTGTGTGCCTCTTTTGTTCCAAGTTGATGGCTTAATTTCAGAGGTTTAAATGGAATACTGCTAAAACTATCTTTGGCTTATCCTCTCACATGATGCATGAGTTGCTTTCATTTCAGGAATATAGTCCTTATAAGGACAGCAACGTTGAGCCTACAATGTCATTAGAATGGACTCCCTCAGTATCAAATATTAGGCAACCTGCTCATGGACAAGTAGGCCTTTATTCATCTCAATATTCTATCCTAGATTTATTGTTTGTGATGTTAATTTCTGTTTTTTTTTCTTGTTCTTTTTTTATTTGCTTTAATATGACCATATTTACCAATCTATCATTCAACTAACTGAGTTTGATCTCTCATTTAAATAAGCTAGTTTTTGTTGTACCCAGAAATTCTTGGGCCTTGCGTGGCAAAAATCCTGAAGGAAACTTACACTTGCAAAGTTTTCATAGCTCTTCTCTTTTCGAAACTCGTATCTTTCACAAAGTAATTTAGTTAATCTCTTTTTCATTTCTCTTATAGTGGTGTAAAACAGGCAGTTAGGGATTGGGAAAGAGATTACGAGATGTCGGATTAATTGGGATGAATGATGATGTATTGAAGATGTGGAATTAATTGAGATGTACAATGATTTTCCATTTTTGGCATATTTTTTTTCAATGTTGTTCCCCCTCCATAACACCCCCCTCGTCTCTCTCTCTTTCTCTGTCTCTCTCTCTCTCCATGATGAGATTGCTTTGCTCTGGACACAGGTCGCAAGCAGCACAGTTTTTGTAATCGTGGGAGGGAGACATGCAGAATCAATCCAGATTTTCTTTTTTTTTGTTTTCTTTCCTAGCATCCTTTATTCCTTTTTAGTTTTTTCTTATATATGTGATGTATTATTATGTGGAAGTTATTTTTTCGTGTATTTTGTGTCGGAATAGTCGTTGACGTCTCTTGTTCCCTTTGAGGGCTGTTTCATAGGGTTTCACATAGTGCTGCAGCTTTATCTTGGTCTCCAGGTGGTGTTTATCTTTTCTCGATTCCTCCACATCGCTCCGGCTTTGTTGCCGCGCATTCCTACTCACTGCAGGCTGCCCAACTGTATCCATTTTGCTGTTTTCCTGCTGTTTCCTCGTTATTCAGCCCTTTCCTCGCTGCCCCTTCCCACGACAGGCTTCCTTTGATTGTCGACTGTTCCAGCCCTCCATCTTCACTGCTGTTGCTCCAGCCCTCCATCTTCACTGTTGTTGTTGTTCTAGCCCTCTCCCTTTGCTTCCATCATCCCGGACAGCCGTGCCATGTCAATATTTGTTGTGTACTTGTTGTCTGGAACCCGAAAAGCCATTGCCTTGCTGTTTTTAGGTTGCCAACCACCCGTCCACCATCTCACCATCTTACCAACCCTTGTTTATCATGATCACGATCACCATCCCGAGATCCACCCTAGTTTGAGCGTTTGTGTCGTGTCTGTTGTTATTACAGATTTGCGAGCGTCCTGTTGTTGTAATTTTCCTTTTAAGTGTATTAGTTATAATCATCTATTTGCTTTCATTATTAATATTTTTTTTCTATTGTGGTTTGATTTATTTCCGGTATTTTTTGGTATTAGAGCTGACCTAACCCTAATCTTTTTCTAGGATTTCTAGCATTCATCCATACCTAACCATACCTTCACCCAATTTTTTTTTTCACCCTACAATATCCCTATACACCCTCTTTCACCTATCCAAACCAAAACCCTAACCATACCACCGAAGAGACAAATATTCAGAGACTTATTGAGGAGGAAATGTGACAAATCCGTTTATGAGAAATTTGCAAAGAAATGTTTGAGAATCTTCTATGGAGGATGTGTGGCAGGAAATCCTCCAATTGTAAGAGGCTTACCGCTTTCAAGAGGAGGCAATTCAGACGGGCCACCTGTAGCCACGTGGGCGACTTTTTAGATCAAAGGAAAGGAGTGAATCTCTTCCACAATGTCTATTTCAGGGATGAAGTACCACTACCCAAAAAATGTCATGAAATATTTGAGAAGTTTGAATTTTGAATTAATGATGAATCTGCCACATTTTGACAGCCACTTGAATCCGAACAAGTTCATCGAGTGACTGCAAAATCGTGGAACTTTTCTTTGAATACCAAGAAGTCTTACAGGACAAATTGGTGAAACCATCCACTGACAAATTAAAGAAGAATGCATTATTTTGGTGGGAAAATTTGAAGCACATACGCAACTGTGAGAGAAAAGACAAAATCAATAACTGGTCCAAGAGGAAACGAGAGATGCAGTGCCAATACCTACTAGTTAACCACAGATCAAATGTTCAGACCCTAGCTTCAAAAGTCAAGATAACCACATCACCAAACGACCACCACATCATATGTATAAGATAGAGCCCTAGGATCTTACAATCAGAGTACACCTAGGGGAATATCCAAGCCAACTTCGCCCAAGGAGAAACTAATTTAGAGTAGAGAACATGTGGAGTGAATCAGTATTCCCAAATTTGTCCCAACCAGAAAGTATTTCAAGTGCCACAAATTTGGGCATATTAAACCAGATTATATGATCATGGGACTGATCCATTTCACTGGCAGGATGTTGTTTAAGAAATGTGTAATGACATAGTAGGCACTGATGAAGGTGAGAACACAAAGGAGTACTAACTTCCAACTGAAAGATGCACGTAGTTCCAGCTAAGCCCATGAGAGAGATTTCAACCGAATTAACATTGGTTGTCCAAAACAGTCTTTGAGTTTGAGGAATCGATATTAGAAGCATGACAACTCCATATAAGAGATATTCAAATTTTTCAGATATATATTTTACTTTTTGAGTTGCCCTTACTAAGAGAGGTCTAACGTGTTTGAGATGAGGCACATTTGTGCCACTTCTGAAAGATTATATACATGTATTCAGAAATTAGATTCAGTTCAACAGTGACCAGACATTAGAGAGGAATCACAACTTGGAAAATTGTCTTGGATGTTTGGTGGAGAAGAAAATTCTTTAATGGGATTCAAGTTCTACCAAAGAAGAAAAAGATCTCTCATGAGTGGTTGGTAGTGAGAGTGGCACATATTTCCACAAATTTCGTCCCAAAGTTGATTTCTCCTCACATAATTGTTTGTCAGATACGTCTAGCGTAACGCTGAAAGTGGGTGGAATAGTTTATAGATGTAGTGGCTCGAGACCTAATTGTGAGAATACTCATTTATCTATTGTGTCAGCTCAAATTGTGACAAAAAAGGATAAATACTTATTCAACTAGAATTTTCTTTAGAATAACACCTCCAAGATTGACTTACCTGGTGATTGCAATAACTCTGTCACCTTCAACGTGTCCGACTTGATTCCATACTATGAAAAAACAAAAGTTTTGACGAATGAGGTTGAAGGTCCCCCAACTTAAAAAGACTGATGCGGGAGCGCTTTGCTCTGAACGCGGGATGCGAGCAACCCAGGTCCTGTGATCACGGGAAATAAGGAGATTGGCCGAATAAATCCTAATTTCCTTTTTTATACTTTATTTCTTATTATCCTTAATTCATTTTTAGTCCTTTCTTGTATATGTGTGTTTTGTATCGGGGCAGCTGTTTACGTTTCTTCTTGATGGCTATATTCTAGGGTTCCAGGTGATGTTTAGATTGTATCTTGGTCTCTAGGTGGTGTTTATCCTTCCCAACTTTTCCTCATTCATTGCACTTCCTTGCCACACATTCCTTCTCGTTGCAGACCTCTCCAACAACAGCCCTTTTACTGTTTTTCTGCAATTTCCTCGCTGTTCAGCCCTTTTCCTTGATGCCCCGCCTCGGACCGCCTGCCTTTGGTTGTTTGGAAGTCCACTGCATCCCCCATCATTGTTCCGGCTCTCCATCTTCGCTGCTGCTGTTCCTGCCCCCTCCTCCTTTGCTGCCATTATCCTAGACAGCTGTGTGATGTTGATATTCGTTGCGTACTTGTTGTTTGGAACCCGAGAAGCCATTGCCTTACTATTTTTAGTAATGATATTTGTTTTTTGTTTTGTGATTTGGGTTAACTTCGGTATCATTCCGTGCATGGGCATTGTTGCAACTATGCATAGATGATTTTTGCTGGAGAGCCATTTCACGTTTTTCTTTATAACTTGGAAAAGGCTTTCAACACCGCAAGTACTCCCAAGGGCATTGTCATTTATCACCCTTTTTTGAAGTTGCAGATCGGGTAAACTATTCTGATCCTACCAACGATACAATGTTGCATGGTGGGATTGGAGTTGATACACATGGATGGATAAAAAGAGTAATGGGTACCTCGTGTGCAAGTTCTCAAAACCATGCATTGAACAAATTGTGATTTATTGAGTGATGGAGAATTGGAAGCTATGGCATAGAAATGCTGATTTACTTGCACTTTCTATTTTAGTATGCATGAGAAAAGCAATGAATAACCAATGCAGATGAAATTTTACAATGAATGCTGCTTGTATTCTACTGAAAAATACTTTACAGTATGTGCATTTGACACGTTGAAGGCTGTTCACTCAAATTCAGATCTTAATTTTCGTCAATATCGTACTAAATACTAATTTTCATTTAAATGCACATATTTAATTGCTTTTCATTGGGCTGGAATATTTTTCTGTATGGCACTTCAACGAGTTGTGAAATTGCAATTGTTTGCAAAATTAGCTGTGAAATTATTGCAAAATCTTTTGTGGGAAAGTGATTTTGCAAAAATAATGTTTTCCATTCTGAATATTTTTTATTCATATTACTGTGTTTTTTTAAACTAGTGATTGTTTTCAACCGCATAAAGAAAAGTGTAAAACAAGGGCATTTAACTGAAATGCCCGAGTAAAAAGAAAAAAAATATAATATGATAATATGAGATATAGTTATTTGGATTGTCTAAGATGAAGTGTAGTGAATATTGGTGATTGACAATAAATATTCTTTTGATTCCTACCTGTAAGTTTCCATAAGAAATAATTGCGAGTTAAAAAGAGGGGGTGGGGGTGACGTGGTTACTGGCACCGGTCAATGTGGCAGAATTTATTTAATCTCCCATCATCATATTGTTGATTTCTTCATCCTCAAAATTTGGCAAGAGCAGCACACATCAAGTGGCTGCCTTGAGGGAAAAGAAACATGTCTTAATTTAGATACAAGCTCGACCTATGTAGTTTTGACCCTGTTGTCGACGCCAGAGTAAGGACAAGGAACTACAATCAGATTGGAGGCTCGAA